GAAGATAAAAAAGTATACTTGTATTAATTGTGAAAAACCTAAAATAACGGTATCGTTATGGCCAATGAGCGGTTGTCATAGTGACATTGACGTAATGTCAATGTCACAATAGAATCAAAGGTTAGAATAGAGGGACGCGCGGTGACGACTCCCGAATGTGACGGTGACGTGATGGATTGTATTTTTAATTAAGGCAATAAAATGTGAAAGTTGAGTATTCAGTGTTTTATGTATGAAAATATATCTACCAGCCTCTAATACTTGTTAATTACTCAAAATGTAGCAGCTTTATTCCCAGACATTCGTGCGCAAGCCCCCTAATAGACATTTCAAGAATTAGTACTACAGCTGCAGATGTGCTAAACCGGCGTGGTATAAAATTTGCGTAATGAATACCGTAGTCACAGCGGAGGGAGCTAACAGTAGGGACACTTTTGAATAAGCGTTTTGAGCCGGACATAAGGCATACGTTTGGAGAGCCGCACACAAATGATTAAAACTGCGTTGGAAATGTCAGTTACCAACAGTAAGGCAGAGTTGCAACAACTTACTTTAACCGTAACTCTGACAATAACTGATGTTGGGGAACTTGACGGATTTTTGACGATTGTTGAAGTTCATAATGTCCTTTTGAGACGACAGTGTGACATCTCCTATATTAATCTAATTGAAGATGTCACACTGTCGTCGCAAATGAACTTATTAAGATTGTGTAACTCAGCTTTATTGTGCGGTCTTGCAAACGCTTACTGGCGTTCTGCTCAAAGCGTCTAAAGTCTAATGATACAGCCCTAGGGCTTGACAGCAATGTTTGCGGAGGGTTAGTACGAGTCCGTCGGTAACCACACAAACTGCAGCGCTTTACTTGTATTTGTTGCGGCGAGACGCTTTCGTTGTTCCGAGTAATGAGCCGTGTTCATTTTAAATCTGAAGCAAATGGATTAAATAAACTTGGAAGTTTATTAACATTCCGGAGCGAATAAAAACTTTGAAACCACATTTTATACAACATAAATAAGCTCCTACTTAATTTCGGCTAACAACAAAACGATTATTTCGCAGAAGTGACCTTCAGAAAGTCTCCACCGTACCGTCACTGCCGTAAACTCTTTGTAACATCCTTCTTAAAATCATTTGTTTGTTTCGGACAAGCGGTAACAACAATAGATATTTGAGTATGTAAAGATGGTGTGCAGTATAAAAGCATAAACGTCGGCCTTGGAGTTAATCCTCGGTGCCGTTATATTACCTTTAGTCATACAGCGGTCGGTAGTCGGCGCTAAGTAGCAATTACTGGTGATCACGTGCTGTGATCGGCGGACGCAGCGAAAAATGCAACACTGAAGTGCCGAGACATCCTGCATTAATTGTTGTCATTTTACAACCCGCTAGGGTTGCCAGGTCCAAAAACACAAAAGCCGGACTCTGTGCTTCATTTATCCGGACATTTTACCCTAAAAGCCGGACATACAGCTAACGGGGTGCAATTAGCGTAATAGATTATTCTGTGGCTTGAGTTTGGACTGGCGCGGTAGCCACAAAAAAGCCTAACAAAAGTCGGACATGCCGGACAAGACAATATTTGGCCGATATAGTCCCTAAAAAAACAAACATGTCCGGTTAATCTTAAACCTGCCGGCTCTGATTCCGCCTGAGCCTTATACGTCGCTCACTACTACTCTAGCGATCAAATAATGTCTACGCTCTATGGCTATGCTACTATTCTGCTATCTTAAAAAAAAAGGTTCATCCGTTAAAATTCATAATTTGTTCTATATCACAAACATTTACTATAGCGTCAATTTGACGGTCGCGGTCTTTGAAGGTATGGCTTGCTGCCCGGCCCTTCTAGTGTTAAATCTATTAGCAAATCATTTTGATAGTGTATTAGGCGATAAAAGTAATTCAATATAGTACTATTATTATTAAATTACTCGCAGAGTTTACTTGATACGACGAATAACGCTTTATCAAAGTAAATATCTTATCAGTGAAGGGAAAAGTAGACAATATTGCTATCAACGCTACTTTATGATCAGAGTAATATGTACCTATTTCAGTATTTCACTCTACGTGCTCGAACTCAAACACGCACACTCTTGCACGCACGCAAACACCGCTATAATGCCACTATCGGAAATGTTGCTATTACATATTACAGTTCAAGTAAACACATTCACACCATTATAACCACTATCGCAACCAGCTGTCACTGTTTACAAACAGGTTGGTTATTTCAAGGCAATCTATACCTAAGTTTGGCTTTTTGTTTGCTACTAAAACATTATTATAACTATTAGTTTTTGTCGCATCCAAAGGTTGTAAGCACATCACTATTGTAACCAAGAAGGTTAATTCGAGTCACTTCCAATTCAGTTTATTGGATTATTAGATTATCTCGCGTTCCGACCGGTGTCGTGTGATATCTTTTGTCCCTGGAGACTTATTACTACATGCATACAAGCTAGTTTAGCATGTCAAAAATATAGTGATGTTCAATGAATGTAGTGGTAACGTTACCGTTACACAAATGACAATCAAGTTAAACATGGAAAAGAACATAATATTGTGTTGTGTTATCGGTTAGGCGAGATAAGGTCCCAAACATTCAGTCTGTTGTAGTAACCAATGACTGACCAGTGACTAGTTTCTTACGCTGCTTCTTCTCAGCACTGGCCCATTTATTGTCCCGTAGCAGTGGTAGGGTTAATATTGGGCCTTGTATAAGTGCTTTTTAAAAGCCTATTTGCAAAAATAAATGATTTTTATGAGTTTACAATTTAATAGACAATAATTGGACATAGAAATATCACATTACCTAACTAAATTAAATAAAACTGAAACGGCAGTCCCTGCGGCCATTTTCATAACTACAGTTCAGATAGTTTATCAATCCTTGTATCAATCAATCAGCCAGTGTATTTTCCTGCATAGTCTACATATTTAGCTAAGTATCAGGTATTTCGTAGCCGTCACAACAGCTTGTCCTGTAAGACTTATACAAACAACGCTGCAATGTTGTGACGACATCGTGTCAAACCGTAGCCGTGCTAATAACATTATTGTCTCTGTTATTGTTGTAAGCATTAGCTGTAGTCACACATATTTGGCATTAATTCTTGTTTTAAGTGTTGCCAGTTATAAAAAAAGTTTCTTTAAACTAAATGCGTTCGTTGGCTTCAGCTCTTGATTATATAAAATCTTATCAAATATTGAAAAGTGCACATCCAAAGTGAGATTTGTGATAAAACTAGTTTAACGAGAAAAAGAGTGGTCAAGTTTTGGTTTAGAGAATGGTGCAGCCGTGCAGCAGAATTGCTAACACTATAATAAATAAATCTTAGCCTTGATTTACTTCACAGCAGTTTACAGTGAATAGGCTAACACAGCTTGGAATTGATTTCGGTTGCATGACCCGCGGACATAAAATTGCAACGAGCAGTCGAGTATGCACCCGAGTGGGGTCACCATGCGATCAGATTTGTTGGGACACATCAGGTTCCAAATTGTTAAAGTTTTAGTAATATTGAAAAATTTCGCGAACGTTTTCTGTAAAACGTGCGCTGAACGCTAGTGAGTACAAGTTCTCTCTGTGCGTAAAATTCGCGGATTTTAATAGGAATTTCCAATTTTGTATATGGTAACCCTACACCCATGTTATTGTTCCAAGTTTTACGCGGCGCGAGTGCCTTTAAACGGCAGTGCTGCCGCCTTACAGGCTCGAAATGAAACTTATGACGAGTTTACTTATCTTCGGCAATATACTTTATAAATTTTAGAATTTTGAGAGTTGCAATACTTAAGTGGATAAATTTTGATAAGACCGATATTTACTATTTACTCTTGGCAATTTAATCGCCATGCCTAAGTAGTAATAAATCACTGTTTGTGACTATACTTGACTTAATAACATGACTACCGTCAATTTATAATTTATAGACGTGTTTACATAAAACCACCGTCTGCATTCTACATGAACATTAGTTGTTATTATCGAGTTAGTCTTAGTTAATTAATATTGTAAGTCCTAATTTCAATTAAATACTACGTGCGTTCAATGCACGTTTAATTGTAGGTAATTAATTTGATACTACATATGTGTAGAGAAAAACAAATGACTCCTCGATACTTGATGAATTAAAGAACAAATGAGTCATGAACAATATGGGTTAATCCTCTTTTAACAGTTGCAATTAGAGCAAGGGAGGTATTTATTCCGATATCAGATGATCTCACCAACTCACAAGCAATTGATTCTGTATTGCGTGCGTCTTACACACCTGTCGAAGTAAGTAATGCTTACGTTTTATTAGAAATCGAGGGGAAACTGACAGATTGCCCATACCCTGGCTCGCGATTATTATTCATGAGATCATGGTTAATTATTCCACCTATCTTGTTAGATACAAATTAATGTTATGGTGAAATTATGAAGCCTTTGCGAACAGTTTCAGAATAGGGTTGTAGCTTTTTTAGAATTACTTAATGACATAATGAGTGAATTAATAATATTTCAGCGTTCTTTACGATATTTCTGTTTTTTTTTTCGTATCATGTAGGTGAATAAAAGTAATAAGTAGAACAGGCAAAAGTAGAGACAGTCAAACTCACATTTTTATTTTTGTAAAAAAAGAAATAAGTATCCTACGATTACGGCACATATCTTGTAATTGTAAAGTGTTTATTTAATAAAAGTATTTTCATTTCATTTTCATTTCATTATCCTACGATTGGACTTTATGCCAGTAAACTTTTTATCGTAAAAAAAGTTCCGCAAACAATGAATGTGGTAGACATAGGGATATTTCATTACACTATACTTCGCGTCATCACTATTAACTTTGTTGTCATTCATATGATTTGTGTAATAATTGTGTTCATTATCCTCAATAAACGCTCTCTGAATACTCTTTATAAACAGTAACATATTACGAGACTTCATATAAAAATTATTCATGTAATATATATATATATTTTAAATAATGTACATAATAACTTACCCAACAGCGCCGTTTAGTGGGGGCACCACACCGGGCCTCTCATAGCACATATGCATGCCAGACACTCTGCCCTTCTTATCCGCACTGAACGAAATTATTCCAACTTTATTCACACTTCACATAAAAAAATATCACTGCGTTTTTCACGATACGTTTAATATTTCAAATACAATGTTCAATCTACACCACGCACAAACATGTTTGTAAAACATTCATCGGAGAGTACGGAGCGGGCCTATCTCTGTAAAAGGATTTTTGCATTAGTTTCGCGCCTTAGAGTGAATACGGAACCCTAAAAAGGCGGGTTCGTGTCACAAAGACACATTTGATTGCTGCAACTGATTATGCTATTGTTGTGGGGATATTCCGATCGAATCGTTACAAGGAATTAGTTTTGCAGCATAGCAGTTTTAAAAGATATTAAACTGAAAGACGCTCTTATATGGACAAATTGTAGAGCTATAATGGCTTGATAGTTGTGTCAATCTGCAGCAATTTCTTGCAAGAAGTCGTTTCTGTATACGGCTGAATATTGAATCCGTTTGGAAACTTCAGTCAAGTACCTATATCTCGCTTTCACGAGGCGAGAAGGGGTGTTGCAACGGGGTTGGAACTTTTCCTAAAGCTCTACATAATATCCGTGACGTCATTGATTTTTTTTCCGGAATGGAGCAATTTATTACCTTAACGTTGTTATTAAGTAACAAAACGATTCGCGTTATGCTTATTACCTACAAATAAAAATCAGCTTATTAAAAACCTATAATAATATAAATATTATGATCGTGCGTTCAGCAATAAATTACATTCATGTACAAGGCGTCTGTACTAAATAATGAAGCGACGTAAAGAATCTTTAATTGCAACGTTTTTATTGTGAGCAGGAATATAATAAAAAACACGTTCGCATCGCGATCGTTGAACGTCAGTCATTACGAGTGAAAAATATATAACTGGTTTTATTTAACTGGGATGGAGACGTGAGTTAAATTGTTAACCTTCCGCGCGACCGCAATTATTGAGAACACAAGGAGACCTGGGCCGACGTATGTAACAAGTTCGAAATGAGCAAGACCATATCGCGGTGACGTCATTGCGGTTCGAGGAAACTGTGACGTCAAAAATTTCGCTTTACATGCAATTGATTTAACCTTTTCTAACAGAACGCTGAAGATCAAAGTCTTGTTTCGAGAAAAGGAGCACAATCACAACTTGGGAAATAATTCCTGCATTGTCACTCATAATAACAACGTTTTCCTCGCACGGAAAGAGGTAAATCAAGTCTGACATGTGACACATTTGTTTACATGTCGACGTAAGAACTCTACAACCATGTCAATGTCAAGGAAACGTATGATATAACCTATTGCGATTCTTTATCTAATGTGGTTAATTGGCAAACAAGTTTTATTTCGCATGTAGTCAGGCGCTTTCAATTAAGGTATGCAAGACCAAGACGAATGTGATTATTTTATTCGTAACACTTAGTCGATTTCATGTAACTATGAAAGCACTTTAAAAGACCATAATCCAATCTCGCGTGTCGTCATCATCCTAGTAACCAGATCAACGATTACTGACAAGTGACGTCTTCATGGTGAGTCACGTAATTCAGATAAAAAACGTTCCCGAATCACCAAATAAAGGCAGCGATATCATCCAACAAGACGAATGAATACGGAACGAGATTTTTTTATCGTAACAAGGTGCGATCTTGAATTAAGAAACAGTGATTACTTGCGAATTTTCCGGGCGGGCCGATGATTAATTGTGGGCCTGTCCCTCGTATACTTTTTGCATTATTTAGCCCGTGGTCGGTATCGTCGAGTAAATAGGTTGTGGCGGCTTTTTTCGTAGGGTCATGAGGAGCCATTACTCGGGTGTTTTCCCGTGTGATTGATCGGTGTTTCGCGCCTATCCCCGTCCGGATCAGTCAGTTAGTAAGTATGCACCCTTTTGATACCGCCGTCAACTATTCCGAGCCCGGGTAATATATTAGCGGATATTCGATATCTTCAAGACGACTCCTATTTTGCACGAACATAAGCTATTTGATTGAGCTGGTCCTCGCTATTTGTGTTACTACAAGAAAAACTAAGGAAATATCCGAATCTATAAACATGACAAATGGGTGGATAAAACATAAACATTCGAAGAAGCTTAACAATGTCACAGGGAATCAATCCGTAAGGGATTTAATGAAATAGGCAAAAGAAGGAAGGAGGAATAAACAATTACGAGCCAACTTTATTGTTCCGAACTCTTTCCCGTTTCGCAGGGCATTACTTTATGATTATGGTTGGGGAAACAATTTCGCGCAATACAAAAATCACCCCGCTGTTCATAACAAAAGCCCATCATTGGTTCGACTTCGGCACAATGACAGGAGCTACGATCCGCGGCGGCAATGCCATGCGGGCATAACAATAAAACTTTATGAATCTGTCAAGGTTACCATTACCACAGCAACAATTTGAGGAAATTTTCTGTGCAGAACGAAAAAGATACTGTCCTAAATCTGCTATACATTAACCCAGTTTAAATCCGAGGCCGAGCTATGACCACTTTGACGAAGGGATTTGTTGAAAGCGAAACATTTAATTTTGCAAATTCGAATTGTGGATGGAATAATAACAAGAAGAATAGCAGATATTAATTGGGATAAAATGTGGAATATTCTGGCAGTGGGACAATACCACTTTAACAAAGGGATTGATTATGTTAATGGTGGTCTTGACAATTTATTAGAGGGTTTTATCGCTGGTGTTAAAGTCGAAACTGCGGTAAGCTTAGACTTTTCAAATATAACCCATTAAGTTTGTTTATTAAAACAAATCATGTGTTTTAATAGCGCATTAAATCTTGGATACAAAGCCGTTGAGAAGGTGCCGAGTTATATCAAATTAATGTGTTTTAAGGGAGACATATTTCCAAGAGAGAGATGGTCGGCTTACGTGAGTCTATAGAAGATAACCCATGGGCTTCTACAACCCTTGTCGTGCCCGTGGGAAGATCTATGTTGGGTTAAGATTTGTGAGGGAACAACTGACCGTTGACTCGCACTATTCTCAACTTACTATTCAAACGCCCGGTAAAGAATGAAAAATAAATTCATTTAGCCATAGATTCGAGGGTTGGGTTGATGGACGTTAGGCACTTTCCTAATATAAAATTCAACAATGCAACATTCCTTTTTATACCACCGAAGAAAACGATAATAAAAAAGGGTCTCTGATTCAAACGCGAGCAACGTTTGAGAGATATCCAAACAAACAGTGAAATGTGGACCTTAAAATGAAATAATAGCGGTATCTTTAAACATAACGACGTGGTTACCCAACTGATAGCTTATGTAATTAATATATTTAAGTATTTAATAGTTCTTGAAGCAGTTCATCGCGTCTGCGATAAACAATGCCTATATTTTAAATTACACTCGGAACAAGTGTTATCAACTTTGGCCTTGTGCTTATTCTAGATTCAATTTAAGTACCTACCTACTTACATTCTGCAGATACATTGAATGACTTTATTTACTGGTTATTTTTATTGCTTAATTATCAATATCATTTAATGATGCGTGATTGATTTAATATTTTTCAATGTTCGTCATTATTTTTGGTAGATAACGATCATACGAATCAATACATTTTGCAATGTTTGAGATGTAGAGCTTCTTTTTTAAACGCTATAGCTGATAATGAAGTCTGGTATATTTATTTATATCCTTAATTTCATAATAGAATTATTATTGACCTCGAGACATGAATCCTAAGCAGTTACACAAGACAATAATGAACTGAATTACAGATTCACAATTGGTAACAGTAAATCATAAATAAATTCCCAGTTCCAGCAATCAAATGCGTCATGCATGAGTCAACATCATGGACATTATATCCGCCGGAGCGATTCTTACAAAAAACCCGTGGAGGTGGCCGCATCCGACCCGATCCTACGATCCAACACTGCAATCCAAGTTAGCGATCACTGACAGTCCTCGCCACAGATTTCACTACGACGTGACGGCGTGTACGGTCGGTGGGCGAGTTGACAACGCGCGCGCATTCCGCCCGCAAATGCAAGGCGCATCACGTCCGTGCGAAAACCCGCCAAAACCGAAGTGTACCGAGTACCCTTGAAGGGAAGGCTCAGTGCGAGAGCGCAGCGCTGCGGACGACCAGACTGCGGGCGGCGACGCGCTCGACTGCCGCTCGCCGCTCGCGACGCGGGGCGGGAGCGACGAACGCCGCTCGCAGGTTATCGTGAGTCGACTACACAGATAATGATGTCAAAAGTGGATCGGACTAATGCTCTCTATTATGTTGTAAACGCTCCGAATATACCGAGATGCCGAATGTTGCAGCGTCAGACCACCTCCTCGAGCTTTGTGCCAGATCAATTGAATAATTTCTTTAATGGAATGACTAATCTAGCGCATTTTAGGTTGAAGAAAATTGTTATGGTAATGGCCGAATCAATTATGAGGATTTCCTCTCAATTTCGCTCGAATTGTAAATAAATATTCAATATTTTGTATAAATGATTAATTAAGTATATCAAATTAACATTGTGGCACAATTATTAGTTGCTTATAATCGGGTTCGAAGGACCAATAAATTCCGCATTATGAATGAAATCATTCAGAATTTTGGACTTGGTAAACTCTACATGAATTCAAGATGTCTGAAAATTGTACCAACAAAGAAATATTAGCGAAGAATATCACTCATCGAAGTGAACGCGCGCGCCCGACGCAAAACACCGGCCGTAATTTGATTGTCCCACGCTAAGTCCTCAGCCAAACGAAAATCACACTTGTGGCAGAAAACTTAGGATAACATATCGCTAAGCCGTGTATAAGCACACACACTCTTATTCAGAATGAATAATGTTGATATTTTGACGACCTTCCGAATGTATACCGTATCGTGATTGTATTGGAGTTGTTAACGCATTGCCGGCATTAATGCGGATGACACGTTTTGTATTACTGGATATTACTAGAGGCACCTCATAGACTGTAAATATAATCATATTGCATCGATCATAAGGTCCAAAACTATTGTTTCTGGGAAATGGGCTGGCGCATATTTCCATTTAGCAAGACGTTGTGTAGGTTTATATTTTGGTTGTTGTGGGGAAGCGAGCTTGCTTGATTGCTGTTTCAGTTCTTTGAGATTTTTGCGGTGGATTGTGAACGAACGCGTCTCTGGGAGTTGGAAACGTCTGGTTATGAATGTTCAAATAATAATTAAATAGAAATAATACGATTAAGAGTTGTAACGGAGCGCTTGTTAAATGGAAGCAGTGTAGCGGCGCGATTTCTAATTAGCACGGCTCCGCATAACGTTTATTGCCTTGCTTGATACTTAAAATACACATTGACGTCAATTACTTAGGTGTGTGTTCCAGGCTTATTCCGTCGCTTGTGTCAACACGGTGTGCGTGATGGGGCTGACTAAATGCAGAGCTGACCATTAAGTGAATTGCGCATGGATAAGTGATTCGTTGTGGTGACCCAAATTCGGGGTGACAAGTGGCGACCTCGAGCCGTGCTGCGGAAGTAGCTGATAGTCCCTGGGGAGAGGGCAGCGGTCCATAGATGGGCTCTACTTTCCACGAGATAGTGCGTCAATGCCATTAAATATCCCATCGTCAGATAACTAACCTTATTAAAATCGTAGGGGGAAAATCATGGTTTTGTAAAATGTATATCCCCTTCTGAAAATGCCTGTTCACAAACTGTGCAACATTTTTGGAACAACGTGGTTTCATTTTGACCCTGTATATGGAAACTGAAATGCACAGATTGACATGCAGTGCAGTGCAGTGCAAACGAAAAAAATGCACAAAAATCCAGACAGGCTAACCCAACACAAAAGTCTATTAACTGAAACAAAAGTTTGAAAAAAGGTTACAAACATTTTCACCACTGATATTTTGCAGTGATGGACTTCAAATAAAGATTTAGCTCGGTAATTGCTATTCTTGAATGTTATCTACGAGTATCACTTGAATATACTAAAAACCATGATAAGATTAACTGAAGGTCGTCTCCTTTCATAGTATCAATTTAACACTTTCCCGGGACAGCTACAGAGCGAAAGTGGCGTCTATTTCAGTCACACTATTGTGGATAAAGCGGAATAGTATACAAATCAAGTACCCACAATTATGCGAATCTCTCACACGAAACGTTAAAACCAAAATAATTTGTTTCTTCGAAATGGCTAATAGAAATTCATGTTGACAGAATTTTCATAAACGGGTATCCAGGACAGTACTCCGAATTAGCTCCAGCAAGATTAGGGCGCAGTTACACCGAAGCGTCCCGTAATTAATTATATTCGGGATTGTTCCAGTAATTCCGCTTCACAGGAGGGCAGAGGGACCAAAATCCCCGGTTAAATATGCATGCGAACGATCCGCAGCGGGAATTGGTGCTCCACTAAAGAACTGTAGGAAGTACTACTTAATGTAATTACTCCGTATACATGTTTACTTGCACGGAAGTAACGGTCCATTGGTATACGCGCCACGTAATATTTCAACGTACATTTCAGCTTGATGAGAATTTAAACTGTTCGAACCTTGATTGAAAATCGTTCGATGTTAATTGAATGTGTAATTTTTTCCCATGCTTGTTTTCAATGGCAAGCCAGTTGGGAATTGAGAGCAGCGAGCGTGACACTTATTTCTTTCTAGAAAGGAAAATCCGAAGTCAATTACGGTTTAGTACGATGTTCTTTTACGTTAGCATCATTAGTTGCAGGCGTGGGCGACATAACAAATCAAAAAGATAATTCTTTACTACCTCTCAAAGTCTAGACAGGCAAATTGTTGTTTTAACTCATCACCACAAGAATCGATAAACTTGACCTAATTTGTAAAGATAAAATGTCAACATAAGTAATATTCAGTGTTCCGGCGCTCGCTATAAGCGACTCTTACAAAATATTAACAAATCTCAAAGTTTTGGAGGGGCGTAATGAAATTTGCGTAAAATTTGCAACATCATTACCGGTTGGCCGACGAGTCAAAAGATTCGGGGAGCTTATCGCTCATACGGCGGTTATCGCTCCACCGTTCCCAGTGTGTCCAAAAGTGGCATGTGTTCGTTTATCAGTTATTGGGCACGCGATTTCGCTCGACTTGAACTTTGTTAAGTTAATTGACGTGATTACACAAGTTAGAATTGTTATCCAAAATGCAGAGTATCTACACTAGCTTCAATTGGCCATGGAAATGATAAATAGTTAAATATCCAAGTTAATTAACACATATTAGTAGATCAGAGAAGTAACTGGCGATACGCAACGGCCCGAAGAACTACCAACAGGCGATCAGTTACGTTTAGGTAGACCTTATGATGATGATGATGATGATGATGATGATGATGACGATAGTGGTGAAGATGATGATGACTGGTTAATATAAAACAAAATAGATAAAAAACTTGTCTTCAACGGCGTAAACTGTTAAAAGTAGAAGTAGAACATCACTTTGAAGTTAGTTTCTGGAACAACGTGAAGCGAGGTGTAATCAGAGAGCCGTGAAATTTGCAATATCATTAAATGTGGCGATGAGTTGAAACACCGCCAGGGTCGTCGGTCGTCGCCCACGGAGCCTCTTATCGCCGGCGACATTCTGGATGAAATGCTTCCGAATATGGCAACCGTTCAAGAACAAACTCTACATTCGAGTCTATGTATCTTCACTAATCCCTGCGAAGAGACGGTTTAAACATTTGTGAACAACAAATAGCTTTTCTTATTAGGCAGACATTATGTTAAAAAGTTATGTTATTATGTTATTTTATTGAATCAAATAAAAAATATTTTTTTAACATTTCAATTCAAAGTCAAATCAATATTAGCAAAGGTCATAAAATACATGATCATTTAAAAATGAGCGTTGTGTGGTATTGACTAATACGCGAAAACTTGAAAAACGAGCAATTATTATGGTGATATTTAAAAGGGAACAAATTATAAAAAAACACCTACACAAAACATAGGTCGTCGTAGGTAGAGCCACAACAATTTAACAATCAGGGGTACCTTTTAGATGAAGATAATAACTTTTATATGGAGGCGTGCAGGGTCATTTGAAGCCAATTAAGATCCTTTACTCGTGTTCACTACAGATGATCTTTGGCTTTATTGACGTTAAAACTACTAACTAAAATGCATAAAACTCCTACAAGGATATAAATAAAGATTAGCGCATAAATATACGAAGAAGCGAAAATGAAGCTCCTTAAATGAGGTCTTTTGGCATGTTTCAACTTCTATACTACTATAAAAGCTATAAGTTCTGTCCATAAAGTATTTAAGTGGAGTGTTAAAAAATCGATATAAATCGGACTTTAGATCGAGACTACTGTAACTATTAATAGAGTTTAAACTAGGAAGTCGAGTATCCCCACTCAAAAGAGCGAATCAAAGTACCCACAATAAAAACATCCGGAGTCAGCAGCGCAGCGGACGGCGATACTGCACAAATTTGATTTAGTCGATTCCAGCCCGGCTCGGATACGGCGACCGATAATTGTCTGACGATTGTACAAATGATGGGATTGAAGAGGAATGTGATAGCCCAACAGGATATATTGGTTTAGAATTCAGAATATTTTGAGATGACGTCATTTGCAAATCATTACAGTGATTTTAAATGGAAATGTTTTTTCCTACTCGTAGATAAGAAGTTAGGTGCATTTGATAATATAATAAACCCTTTCCTTTTTAATTAACTTTAATTAAAAAAGCAAAAAATAACGTGTGAAACATTCCAACAAGGTCATCAACGTTGACACTGATCGATGACAGGAAGTCGATAACTTTCTAAATTGATATCTATAAGAATATTTAATTTGCTTCTATTGAAGGAAACGATATGCACACGCCAGTTTCATTAAAACTGTATTACACGAAACTGCAGACACGCGTGTCAACGGTCGCACACGTCACAGTGACAGGAGCGCCAAAGCCAAAACAAAGGCAGCGTATTTATCGAAAGAGAAAAGTCTGGGTCTCCACCCCCGGTAACCAGACGGAAAAATACAAAGTCCTCGATTGTTTGCGCGGCCCGAACGCCGAGTGCGGAGTATGAAATAATTATGGCTGCGAGAGTGCCCCCTCGGCCTCCCACCCCTGCCTTCCTCCACCCGACTCCGTTACGCGGTGAAGTGACGACGAAATATC